GATCTCTACAAATCTATATAAAAGTTAAGATAACAATTTAAACAAAAAAAAATATACGTAAGAACGAACTCAACACGGAAAATTCTTTTTTTAATCCTGAATTATCTCTTCTGACAATAAGTTGTTAGACATTCTTCATAAATAATCATACATACATACAATATATTAATATAATTATTTATGCCGAGTTATAATTTATACAAAAAGATATTTAAAAAATGATAATATTTGGGCTCTAGGAAATCAATGCAGTAATAAGCGTCGTTAAATAAACTACAAATACTTTAATGTAACAAATTTACAAAGATTCAAAAAACAAATGTTTCGGCTATTTTAACCTTCAGCGTATCATGTAAGAGTTAAATTGCAGTTTTCCAAAAAGTCCTACAAAACACGTAACAGAAGCACAAAAAATAGAATAACAGGTCAAGAAGACGTGTATTATATTGTGAGATGGACTCGATTCCAAAGCCATTTCGTATTTTTTTTTCCAATAAAAAAAAAATCAAGGAATGCATTAAATTTTAAAGATGCATGTACCTAAACTGATAAAAATTTTTCCGTATCGTCGTAATTAACGGCGCTGTCATTTTGTTTTTTTAAGTTTATAACATGTTGAACATTCCTTGACGCATAGCTTAACTCTTTACGTGTTTACTTAAGAAATAGAGAGACGTATAAATGATTTGTAGTTTATTCGTGGATTTCACGAACGTCTAATGGACACCGAGAGAACCACTGTACTCTAGCTCACCGTAAACTTTCGCAATCGTATAGGAAATGGGTACGGACAGCGTTTAAAGAGGCTTTTTCTTTTTATTAATCACATCTCGCAAACTCGTTTTACCTGCGAAATCGGGCGTATATTGTTTCGCAAGTGGGCTTTTCAAAGGACGGCGGACGCGCGGCGATTTAAATGATAATTCAATGGTAAAGTGCTCATTCGGATCTATTATCCGGAATATCGATGCCGCGTACGTTTTACGAACGTGAACTGGTTATCTCGAACCGAGCACACCTGCCAACATGGCTTCCGCGGACCCAGCGGTCACGGCTAGTCCCAGCAGCCATGTTGGAATCGCGAATGTCCGTAGGGACGCAATGAGGCAGACACGCGATTGCCCTGAAAGTTCCTCTAAGGAACTTCTCTGGATACATTCCATCTGGGAAAACTCTCTCTCACCTGGAGGACGTTGATGGAGAAGCCTTCCAGGTCTCCCTTTCAGTGTCCTCCAGCAAACCACCAACGCATCTCTTCCTCCGCCCGAAATCCCTTATTGGCCGATGGTTCAGTGATCAGCGGCGGAAACATCCGTTGTACCTCCACGGACATACACTATTGCACGACGAGAACTTTCAGAGGTCTTCGCTCGTCTATCACTCCTTATCTATTTTCCGTGTACACGTAAACACACATACACATCACGCGGTAAGCGCGGAGTGGACGAGCAGCGCGATTCCTTTCGTCGCACTTCCGATTCTGCTCGCCGATCACGCCTGGTGAAACCGCGAAAGGAACAAGGCGCGCGGCGACGCGCTCCTCTATCCCAAGGTCGGTACCCTGGAAGCAGCTCCGCTTCGAGAGGACGACAACTGGAGCGGGATGTCGATACGCGCGCAGCGCTCTTTCCTGCGGGAGAACGCGAAGAAGCGCGCGGGTAACTGCGTGTCGGACGCCGCCAGGTAGGCTTCCTCGGCTCACACACCCACGCAGGTAAGGCTCATGCACACCTCACGCGTCCATACACACACACACACACACATACACACACACACACATTGGCGCGTACACCTATACACCAGGGCGACTCGCCTGGGAGTCTTTCCGTTTGGCTGCCGCTAGTAGCGCTGCTGCTGGATGCTGTGCCGCAACTTTAGAGCCGCCTTTGGTGCGAGAGAGGTGGGTTCCGGCCGGCTTGCGGTCGCCGGAGTGAGACCAACAGGTAGTCGGAGAGCGAGCGGAGAGAGGGCGAAACTCGATGGACCGAGGGCACGCGCGGGGGGGGTTCGCTGGTATCCTATCTACCAGTGCCTATGAAGCGATGCCGCGCAGGTTGAAACGCAAGAGGGTTTAGGTAGGGACGTGGTATGAGGGGCAGGTGCGTAAACGCAAAACCTGGCACCCTCTCTCTTCCTCTCGCAGTCTCTAGTTCCGTCGCCGCTACCGTGGAATTTCCTCACCTCGGTGCACTCGATGCTCAGCCATGCTCTGATACATATACGCTGTAGATCCGAGTTCGAGATACGATTCCAAGATTCCGGTAGGGTTCGACGATGGATAGGAACCGTTGCATTCGCCGGGCGCTCTGAATCAAGTTCTACTCGAGCTCAGGATCGAGTGAACGTTTACGAGTACGATTTTCGTAAAAGAGTTCTAGAACTCTCACTGTACCGCTGCACCATCGTTACGATTCATCCTCC